TTACTGTTACTGTCTATCATTGTCTAAATGTATTTTTACTGTCTAAATATATGTATTCAGCTAGTGTAAACATGCACGGTGCTATCACAGCAAATGCGAGGCTGAGACTGAAGCTTTACCCTTTGTTTCCGCTGAGAGACGTGCCGCGTGACTCATTTCCCCGCGCGTACAAGTTATCTTAGGTCGGCATTCACGGTTCGACTTCTGAGATTCAGATAGAGTTCTAGGTAAAATTTTTGGTTCGACTTTTAAGAAATTCGAGTTCTAATGAGTTTGAGAACTGAGGTACCACTGTATTTTTAAAATTTCCCAGCATAACTTCCCATGGAATGGGAAGCTCCTGGAAATTTACCACCCCTATGCAACCCTAGTTATGAGAGGCTCCTCTTCCATCCCTGTACCCCAATCCTGCTTCCCAAAGGTGGGCTCAGAGAGTGCCCAGGGAGCCATGTCCAACCTGACGGAGATGGTCCTGCGACGCCTGGCCTCGACACCCCAGAACCTCACTGCTTTCCAGGAGGCTGTTCCTCGCTCCTTCCTGATCAGCGCTGACATGGCCCATGCCCTCCACCCCAACTACCAGTCAGTCTCTCCTTCCGTTACTGGCTGATCAGTGACCCATTTGATTTTAACATCATTCTAAGGATCCATTTGTATATGTAGACTATCCAGTTCTTGTGAAAACTCAAAGCATTTTAGTTGGAGCTCCTTAAGTATCTGTGTACTGCTAACTGTTAGATTGAGAAAACTAAGACTGAAATAGGAAAAGACTATTTTGGCATCAGGCACCACAGTGGCTAAGAACATTAATTGTTTATTGGATTGTTCCAGTAAAATAAAACTGTAAACATGTTCATTCAGTTTAGTAAAATGTGAAATATATATTCTGATAGATTAGTTATTACAACTTTCATGGAAAAAACCTTATTGATTGTATCTGGGTTAATGTAAAATTTCTCTTTGGTTTTAGCTTGAGATGTACGGACTGTTTCATGTATATTTCCTTTTTTAACTCCAGAGAAAAACACGAGGATAATCACAGACCAGCCTTCCATAAGGTATTTCATGTTCTTTGGGAATATGGAATATAACGGGCGTTTTGGGGAACATGTTTGTATCAAAGGCCTTTTGTTACCTGCCCTCGTCTGTTTTTTTTTTTGCATGAGTTCTGTTTTTATATTTTGGATGGTATTGTCCAGACATGTAGCCTCAATGTCTGAATGCCTTCCCTCATCCCCAAGGGGCCTGTTATCAAGTTCAACAGTAATCAGCGCTATGCTACGACAGCAGTGACGGCCTCGATATTGAGAGAGATAGCTGCACGGGTTGCCATCCCCTTACAGGTAAAGCAGTGTTTGGGATCCTCCGGCTGTGGTGTGAGGTAACTTGGCAGAGGCATGTGTAACGACTCTTGGAATCATCCTCTGCGCTGCAGGATGTGCTGGTTAGGAATGACAGCCCATGTGGTACCACCATCGGGCCCATCCTGGCAGCCCGACTTGGGATGCCTGTTCTGGACCTGGGGTGTCCCCAACTGGCCATGCACTCCATCAGAGAGATGTGCTGTACATCCGGGGTGCTACAGACCACCCAACTCTTTAAGGTATTCTATCGCTACCACAGTCACATACCTGTGTAGTAGTAGGTCCTGGATCATCTTCTTGGCTCGTGACCATACCATCCCTCACCTCTGACGCCTTGTTTTCCTAGGGCTTCTTTGAGCTCTACCCCACAGTCCGGAGCATGGTGACGGTGGATTAGTGGATGCTGATCCTCCAGTCCATTTGTTTGACCTTGATGAGGTAGTCATGGAAACACCCTACACTCTGGAATTCTTTGCACTGCCCTCAGCCTCGTAACCCCCTCTCTGCCAGCCTTTCGCTCATGATTTATTGAAGCAGAGTAAAATTCTTCATCTTTTAAACTGATTTTATATCGATTAAAGAGAATGGAAATCTTTTTGCGCTGTGTGTTTTTTCAACAAAAAGATGAGCTGAAATTCAAGCTAATGGAGCAGGAGTAACCAAAGATAATCAGTCAAGAAACTATGGTGTACACTCACCTAAAGGATTATTAGGAACACCATACTAATACGGTGTTTGACCCCCTTTCGCCTTCAGAACTGCCTTAATTCTACGTGGCATTG